TGCCGCAGTCAACCACCTCCCCCGCGAAAAACAAGGTGATGAGGTGTGTCGCGGACTTGCAGTCAGCATGCTGAGATATTTTGCCGAGCTGTCTGAACCGGTTAAGCACCATCTGACTGGTGTGGCTCGCACTGGAAAACCGGGTGGAAAGGCCCCCAAGATGTTCGACGAGATGCATGCTGCGGATCTCGCAAACCGTATGACAAAGGTGGAGGATTCGTCAGAGATTATTCATGATATTCGGAACGCATATCAAGAGCGAAAGGTGCCATGGATTGACATCGATGTGGTGCTTCCTACGGGTACTATACAACCATTCCACCGTCGAGAGAGTGCGGGATCAGATCTTGAGGGGAGCCAGAATCCCCAGTACGGTCCATACACGCCCCTGATAGAGGCATTAGGAGATCCTATGTTTTTGCCAACATCTCGACTGAAGCGTGCGCCGTCTCAGCCGACCAATGTCAGCAAATCCCGGCTGTTCGCAAGAAGCCAGAAAGAAGCCCTTCGTCTCACCATGTGTGAGCTTGTCGACACGGAAGAAAGATATGTCGCGAAACTGTATTCTCTTGTCCATGAAGTGGCCGACGAATTTCGGCAAAAGGCTGTGGGCAGAGGACCATCAAGTAACAGCCCAGACGAGGCAGCCTTGGCGGCATTATTCCCACCATGTTTGAATGAAATTCTGGAAGTCAACCTGGGCTTTCTCGATGTCATTCGGCAAGTGCTTGATGAAACAGAGAAAGACGCCATCACCGATATTGGTCAGGACACGGAGCTCCCTTCGAACCATCGGGGTTTGCCTAGAGACAGAGCGGATCCGCTTGGAGCTCTGGCATTCGCAAAGGCCCTCTTTGAATGGCTACCACAATTTTCGCAGCCATACGGAGACTATATGCGAGCTCATACAGGTTTTACGCAAACTCTGAATTTGTTCATGAAAGATAAAAATTCTAGCTTTTCGAAGAGAGTATATGAGACGGGAGAGCAGAGACTACGCTCTTTGTTGATGGAACCCGTTCAGCGACTTCCTCGATACAGTCTGCTGATTGACACCATGACTAGCAATTTACCCTTAGTTCATCCTGCTGTGCGAACTTTGCTGAAAGCGCGAGACATTGTGAAGGATATTTGTGCGCTAGAGAATAATTCTCCATCAAGCCACGCCCAAAGCCTTCAACGTCTGAAAGAGCTGGTCAACGGATGGCCAGCGAAGACATTCCCTGAAGGACGACTGATTACCGCAGTCGATTTCAATGAAATTACCCCTCCCTACTGTCTAGATACGCAGTCGCCTGGCAACAGCACCGGGATCATGCTTCTTTATAAGAACTGCTTGGTCCTTCTAGCAAAGCCCGCCGAAAGCCGAGCCACGGCCCGTGGTGTGCTGGCTGACATCGATAACGCGGCCTCTTCAACCAGTGATATGTCCACCTCTTTACCACAATCGGAACTCCAGGTCTTGCAGGTACTAGACTTCCATAATGTGCGTTGTATGCAATCCACATGTGGTCGGATTTTGTTTGTTGTGCCAGTTTCAGCCAATCCCATGACTGATGAGACAAGTGTTGGAGCGGAACTACTTGCATTAGAATTGGCTGGAACGTATGAAGGAAGAGCCAACCGACTAATCGAAGAAATATCCAAAGCGAAGATTGAGGGTCGATTCTCCGAGAGCGAAAGAGAAGGAGGCAAATGGACACTACGAAGCCCTCCCACCGGAACTGCGAGTAACGTGGGAATACTGGCCTGTGTGTGCGAGGACGGCGAAAGCGTCACGCTCAACCAGATTCAGTCGTCCCCCATACGAGTCGTTTTTGATACATCTAAGGCGACTTGTGGTCAAATGTTGAGAGATTCCAATCGTGAGATCATCATATCGATATCTCCTCCAAATGGAGATCAATACAGACTAGATATCGATTCTGTGGTTGGATCTGGGTCTACAGATCTGATCACGGTGGAAACGTTCATTCCTACTCTCTCACGACGTCGTAAGTGACCCACCATGACAATTGTGTTTTCTTGCCATTGACATGTAGGAAAAGTTCAATATTTGCTCTCGCCTCTGCATAGCCCCCGAAACCCAGTATTGACAGACCCACTGGTTCATTCCAATTTTGAAATCCTCCGGTATATCGCCAGCAGCTTAATCACGCAAGTCAAGTCTTCGCGGGGCTTCCGGCCACCTTCGCCGACCAAACTGATCTCAAATCTATTGGGTGGCAGTCGTGATAATGTTCCCACCCTTAAAGGGCCAGGATCGGGCACTCTTACCGGCGAATTCCCCAAAATGCTCCCACCGAGAGGTACTTTATCAAGATCAAATACTTTACCTTCGACGTTTCCCGGAAAAGACAAAGAGAAAGACAAGGACAAAGAGAAGGAGAAGGAGAAGGAGAAAGAGGAAAATGCGAATAAAATCTCAGTTGTTGGGGCATCTGCCTCCAACGGATTGGATACTCAGCTCGGGTCGCTGGAACAAACATTTGCAGCCTACGTACTTTCTCTGCAGTCTCGGAGTGGAAACATCCTGGGCCGAATGCTTCGTGTCAGAGATCATGTTGACCGGGCACCGGTCAATGAGCTTTACAACATTTTGCTGGAAGATCCAAGCAAAATCCAAGCTGCCGCCGAAGTCCCAGTTGATACGCTTTTCGTCGCATTTGAAACCTTTTTGGCGAACGCCTGGAGAAGAAGTATGGGCCCTATCCTGAGCTCCTCTTCTCTGAAATGGATTCAGAGCCAGTTCGACACCATGACACCGCGAGATTTTGATGAGCAATTCCGGAAATTCGTGACAGACATGAGCCCGCAAAATAGACGAGCTCTAGCTGCGATCATTCGACTACTTGCTGAGCTGCTCGATGCATCTGGGAATGACGGAGACCGCGGTGCTTTGACGATGGCATTTGCGGAGGTTCTCACTGAAGACGGTGATCCTAGCCATCATGTCTCCCTTTTGGATCGACTGGTTGAAGACTTTGATAGCCTCTTTGAAGAATATCTTCCTGGGGGTACTTCAGTGGAAGGAACACTGACCTGCGATCAATCGAAATCTCGTATCAATGCTGGGTCAGTCGGTTCCAATTCTTCCTCTTTCCGGAAACGCTTTGGCTTTGGTACGCACAGGGATACCTTGAAAAATGAAGGCGAAGGCAAAGTCGCAGCAATTCTGCGGACATTGAGCAAGAAGCAAAGCCCGGCCGGCTCAGAGCCCAATACACCCAAGGGTACTCTGTTGCGTTCGAAGTCGACTGACGTGGACGCTCGTCTGGGCTTCCTTCGCCCTACATCTCGCGATCGCCCTGCGTCTCGCGATCGTCCTACATCTCGTGATCGTCCTACATCCCGCGATCGCCCTACATCCCGCGATCGTCCATATGGGTTCGCATCTGAGGAGCAACTTTCGAGACCAGGCACCGGCTACGAAAAGCCGCCTTCTCTGTCTTCCTTCCGGGGATTCTCTGAAGATACCTTGCCAAGGACTCGCAGAAAACGAAGGAGCTCTCTTTCTGATTTACGACCACCCACATCATCCTCAGATGCATCCAGTATCTCGCCGACTCAACAGCTCCGCCCGACGACCCCTTCCAGCCGCCCACGAGGAGAAGTGGTGACACCCACCAAACAGTCCAGACCTCAGAGTAGTTACATGCCAACATCTCAGTCACCTATGCGTGGTCAATCACCCATGCGTGGCCAATCGCCAATGCGTTCTAAGCCACTCGCAAAATCCAGTTCACCGACGCGATTAGGATCACCCATTCGCCGTCTGTCGCCCCCCCGTCCTTCTACGCCGAGCTGGAAGGAGAACATTGACCCAAGGACTCCACAGACGGAGCGTACAGCTAAAACCAGGGGCAGTGTATCAGAATCGCCGGTAGAGGAATCAAGGAGGCGATCCAACGTGTCAAGCATCCCCCAGCGGACTCCGGGCCTTCGAGAGCGTTCAACCACCAATAGTTCTGATACTAAGCGGCCACAATCTTCGTCTTCCTTGCAGAAATCGCAGAAACCACGGATGCAGAGCCCACAAAAAGTGTGTCACATTGTATTTATCTCGATAGTGACCTTACTGACATTCTCTTAGTTACGTGATCGTGTTCAACTAGAAAAAAAGACCCAAAACTCTAGTCAATTGGGCCTGAAAGACGAGCTTACAGAGCTTGGTAACGAATTACGTTCTCTGAAGTTCACACCACCAAGGCAAGCCAATGCAATGAACCTCGAGTTTGATTTTGACCGTACAGACATCAATCAATCTTCTGCTACCGTCGCATCTCTTGAATCTCGCATGCGCAGCCTTGAAGCTCGAGTTGAGAAGCTTACTGGGGAATACAATGGTCGCACAACTGCTCTCGAGCGGGACTTGGAGTCGTCCTTGGTTCTTAGCGAGAAGCGCGTAAAGAAATTGGACGAGCTTTATCGCGAGGCAAGTGCCGAAAACGAAGCTCTCTATGATCGGTTTAATACCGAGCTCAGCAAGATTGCAAAGGATGTCCGACTGGGCCACGCAGAAGCCGCCTTGAAGTCTCAACTAGCGAGTGCGTTAGACGAGATTGGCCGGGTGAAGAAAGAAAACTTCCGCCTGAAACGAGAAGTCGGAGGCCTTCGAGCCCAGTCAGCTGCCGTTGCACTACTCAAGGCGAGCGAACAATGACCACAATGACCCAATATACAGCATCGATGGCTTGCCCCGTCATTCATTCCTTTTTCCCACCTGGACATCTTGCTCGACAGCCTGACACCTGTTACATTTATCTTTTCCTTTCACCTTGTATTTTGATATCGCACAAGCCTTTCTCTACTTTCCTTTGAACACCCATTCATTTGGATACATATCCATGAGCCTATCTTACTTGTATTCATTCCTATTTTGTCACCCTTCATATTGGCCTATCCGCACAGGTAGCCATTGACCATGCATGCATAGCTCAGGAGATCAAGTTTTTACAGGGCTTGTTTTTTTGTTTGTCTAAGTGTTATTTTCATGTACACTAAGCGTCTTCGGCATCTTTACCCACCGGCCAGCCCATCAAGCGTAGTGCCTCAGTATCAATCATTTTGTACATCCACTGCCATTTTAGTTTCCAGCGACAGCGTAGATGTATCAATTCCACCTCATTGAGAGAAGAATACTTAGTTGAATGACTGGATAGCCGATAGTCCAAAGTTGGCAATGCCAGTTGTTGCCAAATCTTCTGACCAAGAGGCTTTCCTGGCTTGGCAATCACGCCTTCCCTTGATATCACAGGTAAAGTGAAGCGCAGCTGAGCAGGCGCTTCGACGGACAAGAGGGCTTTGAGGTGCTCAAAAGTCCCGGGAATTTTCTGCTCGACAACAGAATCCTTGTTCATCCTCTGCGGCCTTGAATTAACCGCATCTTTGCGTATCCGTTCAATATCAAATTTATGGAGTGGTCGTATTGTAAGCGGAAGACTTAATAGTCGATCCTCTAATTGATTGGGGTCACAGTCGATCGGAACGAGACGAAGCCGCATCCAATACCTGTTATCCCATAAAACCCACTGAGTAAAACTACCACTAGGCGAAACATTGAGTTGCGTCACGGGATCACGATTTCTCATGAATGGTTGCCGGGATAGCAACCAGATATTATCACCGAGACGTGGGTCTTGGGACTTTCCAGGCGTGGAGGCTTCGTTTGCGAGACGCTGGAATAGAACCCCGGCTACCGTGAAGGCATTTCTTCTTTTCTGGCCTGTCCCATGAGAGCCATCTGGACCCGAGAACACATTGGGGACTAGAGACTCATAGCTGCGTAGCGAGAAATGGTTATCGGGGAATGGGGAGACTAGTTCTGTGATGCGGCGGAGAACGATGGTCTGGATCTGCCGCATTCGAGACGCTGATAATGTTGCCAGTTGCGGGTCCATGGATGCTGGGGTTGTATCCAGGAATTGAATGACCGCCGACCCTGCTTTGGGATTGAAATCTAGAATTCGGCATTGAGATGAAAGGAGGTAGTTTGAAAGCTCGTCTGACCTCTGGAGGAGGGTTTGGCTTGAGCGGATTAGGGAGAGGATGGATTGTGATTCCAGTGCTCGGGGTAGGGAGTTTGAGGTGCGAAGGCTGCGGATGGCGTTCCGAGGAGTGAGGGTTGGGTCGAAATTTGTTGGGTCGGAGACGTAGGGGACTTTGTTTTTGTGGCAGGTCTCCAGAAGACTTGTTTTGGTGAAAGATAGCAGAGGTCGGCAGATGAATATGCCAGGACTTGCCATGTTTGCATTAGATGTGAGGTTGAAGGTAATTTTATCTGTCTTGGCGTTTGGGTCTGGAAATGTGATGAACCCATGCTTCTGGTTATCGAACCGGACTCTGACTTGGGGGTTTGTCGGTGGTTTTGTGGGGATTGATGTAGTTGACCAGCTCTCAGAAGCCCCGAAGAGACCATGGCATTCGGGGATTCGAGCAACTTCGGCGATGCCACCAAGACCTAACCCAGTTGCCCCAGTGGAGAGCCGCCAAATGGTGGTTTCAATATTGTCATCTTGATGATGGCCTAGAAGCAGTGTTTCAAGTTTGAACTCATGACAAGCTATGCCGAGGGCTTGGAAACGGAGCCGTCGAGCATGTGTCTCAAAGGCAGACGGCATGGGACTCGATGCTCCAGACTTTGGCGAAGATTGATTCTGACTTGATGTAATTTCAGACCAGTCTAAACTGAGAATATGGGTTCTGATATCTGTTTAAGAATGGTTAAATAATCTTCCAAAAATTTAAAGATTCCAACTTGGAACATACCCATATCACGAAGCCACCCAGCAACCTTTTGTGCTTCAATAGTGCTTTCTGAACGAGCACGATGATCTACAACAAAAGCAGTGACAGAAATAGCCCCAGCAATATCAGAAGAGCGTTCCAATTGCTTGCATAAGTATGCCAAAGCCATGGAGTCGGCGCCACCACTGACGGCAATTCCTACCATCTCGCGATCAGCTAAGTTCTCTAGATACAGACTAATTTTTCACAATCTTTAAAGCTTACCAACCCTCCTTGGAAGCTGCACAGTGTCATTATCACCGGGTTTCGTTCCATATTTGGTGCTGCCATAATTGACGCGAGCCCGTCGCGATCCGGACCATGCTTGCTGGAAGCAACGCTGGAACAGAAATGGCGAGATCGATATATTCCCGGCCATTTCCACTCTCCATGGAATCAAACATAGGCTCGAAAATTCAATATCATCGTCGACATATAGATTACTTGACGCGCAGGAGAACCTAAGGGTGATATCGTCGGTTCGGCTAATTAATTTCCCGAGAACGTGACCAGGCATCCTTCACATAAATATGTCCCTGGGATTCTATTATTATTTTAAAAAATAACGGGTAATTTTGAGATGGGAGTATGTTTGTATCCTGGTATTCACAGTAACGTAAGTGGCGGTTGCTGAGTTACATATGTTGCTCGCATGCTCAACTATATACATTGCAGCAAATCAACATTATGACACAGCGAGGGTCCGCATATGATTTATACATTAGAACGATTAGCTGGATATGTAATTTAGTTTCTACTTATGGCATCGTTGTGATATTATTTTCGGGGAATCAATTAGAACACCGTTTTACTGAGGTTTAATGTCCAATTTCTGAGGATATCTATTTAGACATCAAATCAATTAGGAAAAGCAGCCAGGTAAGCGCCCTCGATTTCCCGCCCCATACCCCCAACACCCTCAAAAATCACATCCGATTTCAGAGAACTGCCAAGAACCTCCACCCCATGTCTCAGCTCCTCCCTCAATCTCTCAGCATCAGCAATCTCCGACTCGGGAGTAGGGTTACTAAGCAGGTGATAACAATCCGCAAGCCGATCCGTCGCTAGAGAGGCACGCAATCGATGCAATAGCATGAGAAGAGCGTAGCAGCTCTGCATAGCCGAGCAAGCAAAGTAAGGGATAGTTTTCGGATATGTTGTGGATCTAGAAGAGAAGGTCGAGTCAAGTGGATTCGGATACGGCAAAGTACGATATATTGTCGTTACCACAAGCGAAGACTTGAGGCAGATAGTCGAGGATTCTTGCTCCGTGAACGGGAATGAGGCCTCGCAGTCTGTCACCCACTTGGGAGCAGATGTTTGATGCGGGAAATCTGCGCTGTTGATTGCTGCAAGATCGCAGTATCTGTCGAGGAAAAGTGGGATGTCCATGAAGGCACGGAAGCGGTGCAGGCGAGTGCGAGCACTAGAAAGGTCAGTAGAATACCTATTGAGGCTGAAGATAAATCACTCACGCATGGATGAACATGCGGCTGATCATCCACATGGTTTGAGCTACAGATCTCTCTGGACCTTCATCAAAAGTCGTTAAAAGATGGCGGTCTGCTTCACATATTAGAGATACAAGATTCGAATCCAGATTGCGTATCCGGGTGCCGAAATTGGAGAGAACGGCTGTCTCATCCACTCGTTCGATGTTCTGGACCATTTTGTTAGACTCGAAAAGAGCCTCTTGGGCTTTCATCATTATGGGCCATGGCTTGTAACAGTCAGTAGAGGATTGGAGAGTTATGAGATGAGATGAATAATACCTCCTGATGAACATCAAATTTGGGATAGGGCGTAGTTATTCGCGGATCATCCAAAGAAACAATTGGTGGCTGGATATTAATCAGTCAAAATCGGTCAGTGAGAGTATTCATATGTTCTTACAGAAAGATGCAGGTTTGACGATAGATATGTGACCCAAATCTATAGAACCAGTGAGCAACAGCTCCGACAATAACATATCTCTCTCACTAACCGTCATCCACCAAGCTCGTCTCTGTGCCTCAGAATACTTTGTCACCGTCGAGTCGAGTCTATGAAAGGAGATATCCATAGCAGTTGTGATAGCCTGGTTACCTCGAGCCCGCATTCTGGATATATTACCACGCTGACAATACTCATAGATGGCAAGAACCACGAGAGCTAGAACCGGACCAAGTTGAGCTGGAACTTGCGGATGCAAACTATTTTGTGCTACAGAGGATTCTATCTCCGCAACATTAGTGCTCAAAGCAGGTGACAAGTCGTCAATCTCGGTTTCCAGAGCAGCCAGTGCGGCCTGAGCAAATAACTGTGCGTACGACCGTCTAAGCGCGAGGTTCATTTCGGCCATTGGAAAGCTGTCTTCGGAGGTAGGTATGAGGACCAGCATTGCAGACAAAGCAAGACTTAGAGACGATGTCGGCCAATAAGGCAGGTGGGACTTTTCTGCTTGAGAACTTTGTCCAAATGGCCTGATCACAGTAGGGTGGTCTTCATTCTGCGATACTATGGGAGGCGGCAACAGAGGCAAATATGGATGGATATAAATATAGTAGGCATTGGCACTGTATGTCTGATTAGTAGTCGGTCATACTTTGAATCAGGTTCTTTGCACCAACATTTCCGCTTCAGATTGATAGGCGCGTATTACCGATGACCCTATATCTCGCACAGGGGCTGAATCAAAGGAGCTGTCATCATGTGGGGTGAGCTGACCCCATATCTGGTGGGCTCCATCTGCAATTGACAAAGAATCTGGGGAGAGATCGAGATTGTGGATCCCAGCGAATGGTGAGACCAGACCAATCATGTTATCGAGAAATGGCTCTGGCCAATAGTTAGATATTATAATGACTTTTTATTCAGGAAGGGTTGAGCTACCAATTTCATTGGTGATACCTGATGTTGAAGATGGCAGAGAATTGCCTGCAGTTGGTCGCCGTTGTGCCTCTTCATACCGGGCTCCTCTGCGAGGACCACCCCGGCGACTGGGTTGGTAACTGCACTCTTTTTTTCTGCTATAGCACTAATCAATGAGTTAGCCAATGTACACTATGATAAGGCGGTTGGATATACACTGCCACAGGGTTGTTGGCCGTCACAACGCGTTTTCGATGTTCGACTACAGAATATGAGCTCAAGGCAAGAATGAGCGGTCGACAAGGTATGTAACGCACCATGCCAGACACGCAGCTTTTACTGGTGATTTCGTAACACGAGGCATCTTCTCTTATTGTTTGAGGAATAGTTAGTAAATGGTTATCTCTGCGTAGGACGTCACCACGGCACGTGATATTTATACCCTGATCAGATGAGGGCAGTTTTGATGTGATAGGATCTACCTTTATTTATTGCTTCTATTGCTTCTGTTAAAAGTATACTTTGTCTCAGGACATGAAGTTAGCTCTGATTCGGCGTTTGATCTTTGGACCAAACACCGAATCAACTCGTCATTGGCAGATACCCGATATCGGCGATTGATGAATCTGATTATAATACTGCAAAGGCTCTAACTAACTATCTGGAATCTCAAGAATATGTACATAGCCGTAAAGGCTTTTCTGCATTAGTAATGAATTTGAAGTATAAGTTAGAAAAAACAATTTACATACATTATCAATTTCAAAATGTTATTTGCAACAACTCTTGCCGACATTGGGCGTTTCCGAGGTATCAATACGACAGAAACATGAAGACGTTACAGGCACATCAGCCACGGCAACCGCAATCGCCAACTGCGGTGCAATAACACGCGCCTCATCATTCCGACCGAGACGTACCAAACATTCATGGTATCCCTGCAAAGCCCATACATTATTCGGATGCTGGCGAGCGCGGATAAGAGAACCATCAATACCCAAATCAGCCTCGTAGACAGCCGCAGCATCCGCAACATGGCCCTGCTCTAGCAAAAGAGCAGCGTATGCATGGCGAGTGGGCTGCATCCAACTCCAGGGCTCACTGTAACCCAACCCATCATCCAATTCAATCGAGCGACGTAGATGCGCGAACGCCTCTGTGTAGTTCCCACGACGATACTCGATCTCGCCATCCAACATTTCTGACGCCACCCCCAGAATCTCAATACACTTGTTAGGCCAATCCAAGCGCGTATCGGGGACTCGTTTCCGCGCTGCTCGGTACAGCTCTCGTTGGCGCTCTGCATCGGGCACGTTCCCTGACGCTGCATACGCCACGCCCTTGGCGTAGTGCAGCGTCGCTATCGTCATGCAGTACAGCTCTGGATCTGCGGGGATCGCAATCTCAATAAGCTCGTCCCACATGCCGAATCGCACCATGACGTGTGCGCGTACAGACATGAAGACTTCGATGTAGTCTGCCATGGCCGCGAGCAATTCTTTCGGCAGAGTCGCCTCCATGCGGTCCAAGGCTGTAAATGCGGCCTGTTTCTGGCCCGCAAACATGGCGGCGTAGATGAGTGAGTGGTATGTGTGCATGCGATACACGGAGTAGAAATTAAATGGACCTTCTCGCGCAAGATATTTCTCGTCTGCAACGGCGGCGCGCTGGTTGGCGCGGACGGCACTTCGATAGTCTCCAACCAACACATCCAGATGGGACGGCATATGATTGACATGACCCGCATCTGGAACCAGATCGCGGAGGTAATCTGCCGCTCGCAGGCCTAGTTCTGGGAAGGGCGACATCTCAATAAGATGAATGTAGGTGTGCAGAAGACCAGGGTGTTTGCAAGCATCTTTATGTTTGAGAGCTCTCTCTAACACACTCTTTGCTTCCATGGTACGAGTACCAGGGTTTGGTGTGCCGGTCACCATGTCCCACAATTTCCAGGGAGTGAGACTGATCAAAGAATCAGCGTACAGAGCGGCCACGTCCAAATCATCGGTAAAATTTTCGTATGCCTCTTTCATTGCGTCGGCATATGCAAGATTTTGAATAGCATATTGATCCATACTAGCAGGCTTATCACTCTGATAGCGGGCGGAAATTGCCTTGGCAAGGGCCTTTTCCACCGGAGATGTCTTTGAAGAGAGAAATCGAGCTTTAATTGCAGCTCGATATGTGTTTTCCACCACGGCTGTCAAGTCATTGCCGAGGAAATCCCAGGGCTGATTGTAGTTGGGGCCGAGAGAATAGGCCAAGCCCCAGTAGGCCATCATACAACATGGATCATGCACAAGTGCCTGTTTGAAACAGATGACTGATTCTTTATGATTGAAGGAATATGCCCACACAAGGCCGCGGTCAAACCATATTTGGGCCTCAGGACTGCTGGTCGTAATGACCTTCCCGTATGCCCCAAGATTATATGGATATTCATTCGTGGCCAACGCTTTTGTCATTTTGAGGATATATGCCCTGGGAGGTGGTATGATGTTAGGAGGCGAAGAAGAACGAGTTTCGGATTTAGGCGGGGTTCCCGCCTTTCTTGTACCCAACGACATTCGGACTTTTCACTCCATAGATTTCATTTTGATCTTTTTATGTTTTTATGTGATATATGAATTATCGAACTATTGTGAACTAAACTGTATACATTGCATCCTATTGGATCCCAGTTAGTATACGAACGCGAACCCTTTTAGGTATTAGATTGTATTAGATTGTACTATTGTTTCCTTAGGTCTCACTCTATATCTGTATTTTCTACTATATATCTATTACTATATCTTATTTTGATTTTGATTTCTTTTTAGAATCCTAAGAAAAGAAATCAAAAGGAGTAAAAAAAAGTACAGGCAGAAGGGGGTATGGCAATTCAGCCTCAATAGTACTCTCTTTCCTATTTCCCCCGCTGGATCAGCCCACACTTTTATATATATAATCAACGCCAAGCGCCCGTATATTTTTTCTCCCATCACATGTTGTACCCCCCAAATGGGCCAGTCTCCTTAATTCTAAATCCTCACTTTTGAAACCATCTAGTGTTCGCTAAAATGATCTCTGATATTTTGCTGAGCTAAGAGCCTGGCCAATGCCAAGGAATGACACAATAGTGTACCAAACTTCACATCTCAGAAAAAAGCATTTTCAATAAAGATGGTCAAAAATGATACATGAATCGAATCCCAACTAACTCAACAGATGATGGGAATCAATATCACATATTCCGTGAGAAACAAGAACGCTCTAATTTTGTGGGAACTTGGGAAATGCTGACCAATGAAGCATTAAAATATATATAGATCGAAAACTAGGCTGACTGCATGAGAAAAAGCAAATTGCCCATATCAGCTAACTATCTCTTACTAAGGTCTCGAAGGATTCTAGCGCTGAAAATGATCTCCAAGCCTAATTTCTTCAGCCAATGAGGGTAAACTTGCCATTTTCCCAAATCACAGCCCTGAAGGGACCTGCACGTGAGAATACGCCATACATATAGAGGAAAAATAAGCAAAATGTGACAAGTCTGCATACTAAGATGTATTCCTATTTGAGATTGCAGATCTAAGACATTCCAAGGTCTTGAATGGACTCTAGGCAGACGCTTATCTTGGTCTTTGTTTGATACCCCGTACAGACTACGGGGTATACGGGGTATACTCTTCCCGGATCCCCAACCTCTTTTCTTCCCTCTTCCCCATCCTCAACTAGATATTCCTGCTTTCTAAACGCTAAGACACAATCCAAATCAATCATCCAGCATGGTATCGTCAGCCTCACTTAAGACATTCCTACTACACTGCGGTGCCTTCATCGGGGAACGACTCGAAACAGCTCCCTTCCAGACCTTCCTCATCCTGGCCTCTATCTGGATGCTCTCTATCCCAGCTATGGTGTTTCTGACGACCCGCTATTTGCCCTTGTTTAATTCCCAAATTGCCAAACCTCAACTGCGATGCCGCTCGTGCGGTAGCACCGATTTTACTAAGATCCCTACGGGGACTCCAATTCCAACTCCGAATGGGAAGAAGGATTGAGTCACGGGGCGCAAAATGCCACATGGGGACTAGGGAAGGTTGATCTCCGGGGGCGAGGTGGGAGAAGCCGCAGTCCGTCGATCACCGCCTTAAATTAGGCAGACAGTTTTGGGTTTATTGGTGTGAATAGCGATTAGTATCGGTATTGGTTACTCTAGTGCAAGCTTAGTTTAGCTTGTTTTTGCCTCCTAGGCTAAGCTAATTTAAGAATGAGTTACATACCGAAAGCGGAATCTAGCGCATATATTATGCAGGGGATCTAGGGCTCTGCTTCATGCTTCATGCTTCATGCTTCGTATTTTTACTCCTTGCTTTGACCGGATTATTATTATGACTCTTCCTGTTAAACCATACAAAGTATATCTTGCTGAGAAATAAGAAAATGGAGTAGAGCAACATTTGCTCCACACAATCAAAAAGCCTCCTTCATTGCCTGGCTTTCATTCCTTAAAACACCTACCTGTATACTATCAGGCTGTGAGCTTACCCGATCTGCAAGCCACATTCAGCGCTATTCTCCAATCCACTTCAGTTATCGCCACATTTGGGAAAGAGAGGAAAACGCCCGCTGTCCTCGACGACTCTCAACTAGTGCTAGCCGAATACTCCAGTCCCACAAAGGCAACTGTCTCATCGGCATGGATACGAGAATAATAAGCCCTAACGGTATCATGTGTCTCCTACCTGAGTGGATGTAACCCCACGCATACCCAATTTTGAGCAAAAAACGTGAGCGGAAAACGTTGTCCGCATGGGAATTGCCTCTTTGGTCAGGGCAACCTGCTCAGCCAGGTGCATCTCACTGACTACACGGGCAGAAGCCCAGACTATAAGAACCCCGATGAAGAACGGAGGAGAGCTTGCAAACAGAACAGACCAAGCAATCATCTCGACAGCTCTCCAACATCCATTCAACCAAGCACATCTGCTGCTTCTCCAAGATGCTTTCCAGCACCCTCATTACGAGCCTCATCCTGGGTCTTTCCCAGCTAATCACCGGCAGCGCCCTGCCCTCAACCCAAGCCGCCTCAGCCCCATCATCCGGCTTCATCATCAGCCACGCAGCCTCGGACTACTTCCCCGACTCCAAGGGCGACCTCAGCGCCTTCGACGTGGACGTCCGCTACGTGGGCTACTCCACCGACACCGAGGCCTGGCTCACAAGCCTCAACCCGCACTCCGCAAGCACAGACGAAGAAAAAGCGCGGATGCTAACCGAAGCCGCATACGCGAAGAAATACGACTCGAGCGACGCAGACATGGCCGGCGACGTCGAGTCGTTGCTTGCGCACGTTGCGGGGAACAACACCGTTGCCAACAAGGGCATTTCGAAGCGGTCGAGCTTCTCGACTAGCGCTGCACATGCTGTGCTGTGGAGTGCGTGTGGCACTGTCTTCTCTTGTATCTCTGGTACGACTTGTCAGTTTGATCAGCAGATTGGGAAGGCACCGCGCAGTCATTGCGAGCAGCAGGGTGGATCGAATTGCTGTATTAGTTGGTCTACTTATAACGTTCGTGTTGGGTTTTTCTCGACTACTTGGACCGCTTGTAATCAGGAGGTCAAGGCTGAGGGGAAGACTAGTGCTTCTTGTGAGGGATATGGGAGTGGGGATCAGGGTGGTGATGTTTGTCTTAGCAATCGTGCTGGTGGGTGTACCTAGATGTGTTGTTGGAAATGAGGGTGGAAGTGGCTGTTTGATTGAGGGCTGGGAGGATCTGCAGGTAGAGAGAATGTGGTTGTTATAAGCCCTGTGCAGGGTGATGACTGTTCAAGTTTGCGGTCATAATTGTCATCCATGTTTTCTATAGTCATGCAATGCAATTGTTGTCTTTTCCTGAGAGTCCTCATGGTGATCATATATGAACAAAGCGAACAATTGAGCGTTGATAGGATTAGTTAGTACGCTAGTTTCTCTTGAGTCTCTTATTCGTGTAGCTATGTACTCAGTCAGGGCAAATAAACGGAAGGTACAACAGAATACGCCAATAATTGATTCATATTGAAGGATCCAAAAGTTCGATTCTTCGCTAGTAGTGTCGCTGCTGTTACCGTCAACAATATTACATGAGAATGCAAGCTGCAAGCTGCGAGGCAAAAGCAAGGCCCCACAGCAATAACCATAAGAAGAGAAATAGGAGATGCGATGGGCATCAACAAAACAAAATAAAAACAAAATAAAATATCTCGCCCATATGTACTAGACCTATGCAGGATCGGTGTAGGCCAAATATCAAATGTACTGTTTGAACGAAAGGAAAGAAGAATAAGGAAAAAGTAGACCTAAAAGGCCTAAAAGACTGCTGTTTCTCACTAGGTAATCACAGAGCCTGCCACAGATCCCGAGTTGGTCACCGAATGGATACTCCCAGGAGGTGCAGGTGCATGGCTTTCACCGTTTGCGTTTCCGTTTGCGTTCCCATTCACGTTCGGAGCTTGGGTTTCTTCCGCACGGGCATGGTTCTCATCAATTCCCAGGAGAGACCGGGGCGGGTGGATCTCTTTCTTGCCGTTTGTCTTGTAGTGGAGAACCATGTCTCCCGAGGTGCGCCAGAGGTGCGTGCGAATAGTCGATAGTGTCATGTTTGGTGGACAGAGCTGGTGGAAGATGATTAGTATAACCGACTGTACAAAATGGGAGAAATTTTTACCATCTTCTGGCAGTATAGCTCGAGGTACTCCTCTGGTGGCATGACGGACTCTGCTGATTCATCCGGGTTTACAGGGTCAATGCGCTCTGCAACATAAGCAAGAATCTTTTTCGTTCGGAGCATGCGGTTGGCGTTGAGACGAGAGCCATTGTTATTGGTGTTCGAATTGCCCGGAGGGGCACCGTTGGGAGCCGGGCTGGATGAATAGATGAGATTAGTTTCATCAACAATACGCATTCTAGGGTAGGGAAAATCCGAAACATACGGTTCAGGCTTGACGACTGGCGGCAAGGAATCATCAAATGGCTTCAATACAAAAGCGATCTTGACCTGTTCCTTGAAGGGAATTTGATTCTATAACGAATGATCAGTAAGAGGGAAAGCAAAATATCACGAGGAAATAGACTTACCTTCAGAAGAAGCTCACCAAGCCAATGAGGAATTGCTTTGTTGAGCCTTTCGAGGTCTTCGCCAATACGGTCCACGCTACCTCTGTAGAGATCCGAAGCAACGGCAGTATCGACAGTTTCCTCCTGGATGAAGACTGCAGTCCGAGATGGAATCTCTAGTCGCGGAGTTTCATCCTCGTCGCTGGGCAAAAGAGCCGTCTCCAACTCCTGACCTGGATGTGTAGTCAGGAATTCTTCATAATCATCACGAATGCGGTCAACCACGCCGTAAAGATTGGGCTCATACACCTTCTCTTCCTTGATAGAGGAGATCTCTGATTCTTCCGCCTTTTCTTCCAATATCTGAGGCTTCGTGTCCGTAGAATTACGACCTAACTTGGGGAAATTCATTTGGAACTTCTTTCCAAACAGTGACCCCTTCTTCCGCTCTTCCTTATCGGGCTCTGCGGGGGATTGAGCAACCCCTGGATTTGAGGCTGCATCTGACGGAGATAGAAGTGACTTGTCGGTGTCTGTTTGCGGGGCTGCTATAGGCCTTTTCGAGAAGTAATCACTTGAGGAGAAGGATGATGGCCCGCCATCAAGATGAGAATTTGTTAGCACTGAGGCATCAGGTGTCTCTGCTTCAAAGTTTGGGAAGGGAGAGTTGCTCTGCATGGAAGTGCTGAAGTAATTTGACGATGGTGTGCCAACATTGATTCCAAATCCGACGCCTGGGCTACCAGGGAAATCAGTCGCTCTGAGATGAGGATTCGATATAGGTATACCAATGCTGCGAGGGATATCATCGCCAGGCAGGGATGTGCCCAGCGGATTCAGTCGAGCATGTTCTTCTGCTCTCGCGATGGCAGCTTGGCGGTATTCGCTGTCTCGTCGAATTTCCTCGTCCACTACAGGAGCAAACAGCCAACGCAAGATCCATTTGCCAAGATTAACTGCGTCTTGTCAGTATGGCGAAGAATATCGGCGAACATTGACAGCAATGAAAATAGATAGTCCAAGGGAAAGGATACTCACTTCTTTGATCGTCTCTAAACTGATGCAGATCAGGTAGTGGCAGATCAATCTCGTCGGCATAAACTTCTGCGTCGAAACAGCGATTGGGCTCTAAAATGACTGACAATCTGCCAGTACGCACGTCGGTGGTACACCAATGTCCAATACTATCAATAGTGTTTACCTCTGACTCAACATCATCTATATGACGCTTGCCGAAGGTTTGGATGGGGATGCACTAGGTTCATGTCAGTCGATGTCTTATACTTGGCAGTTGAGATGTAACCAAATCACCTTCAGCAGATCCCAGAGAACAACTTCTCCTGCCGAGTCCTGAGTAAGGGCACGCCTCCGATCATTCAACATCAAGCACTTAATCAAGCCGTGTTGGCCTTCAATGGTTTCCTCAGGCTGTGAATGAACTGGGATCGTTAGGCCAATTGCCTCCGAGTTAGGCTCCGAGGAATTCAGTTTAGGGGCTGATCCGCCGAGAATCGATGTCGCTGATAACTGCAAAACAGAATTAAATGGAATCTTCTTGGGTCCCTTCTTTGAAGGGGTTGCGGGCGCTGCAGCAGAGTCTATAGTACGGGCTGGATCAGGCGGCGCCTCAATTTCAAGTGTAGTATCAGCATCTCGCCAGCGGTGGATGCTAGACTTGGGAGTAGCTGTCCAGATGTAGTCTCCCGCCGCCACAACTTTGACAACGCCCTCGTGCTCTTGCAGTGCAGCGACACTGATGCCCTGGTCGGGATCGGCCGATCCTCGCATGTCGGTCTTTGCCACCAAGCCAGATCGGTCACTTGAATAGAAGACAGAGAGATCAGGGTGGTCCGAGTAAAGAGACCACACACTATCATTGTGCATGGTCAGGGTATTCATGCATCGACCCGCTGTAAGAGACCAGATCTTGATCGTTTGATCAGACGACGCCGTCATGATTGTATCGCCGGATTGGTTAATCATAATATCACGAATGTTGTCCGTATGGCCCACAAACTTGGTCACTAGCTTCCCAGACCTGGGATCCCATACTCGGACGACATTTTCCGGGCCACCGCTGGCGAGCACCGACGAGACCGCGCCCAGCGCATAGACGGAGCCTTTGTCTGTCGAGTCTTCTCCACCGGCATTGATGTTTAATACCTCTCCACCGCCATTCAAATCCCAAAGGTAAACCTTTTGATCAAGACCGCCAGAGGCAACCCAAGTGGCATGGCTACCAGGGCTCGCCAGCGCCTTCACATAATCGGTATGTTTTCCAATGCGCTCTGGCACCTCAGTGGATTCAGAATGCGGGCGCCAGAGTCGCACAGTCGTGTCGGACGAAGCGGAAACGAGCGCAGAGTTGCCCTGTGCCAAGACTATGTCGTTGATCCAATGACTATGAGCTTGGACTTGGGTTTTGAAGCCGGTCGGACTAGGCTTTTTCTCGTCAGACGAGGAGGGAAGAGGAAAGTCAAGATCCCAAGAACAGATGGCGCCGTCGCGACCGGCGGAGTACCTAGAAGAGGGGATGTCGTATTAGTATCCGTGCAACCCACGTGTAAGGGGGCCTGGTTTTCAAAAGATCGCGATCGCAAACGTGGCAACTGTTCACACCGAGATCCTAGATCCCAGTATAATGAGAGAAAGATACTTACAAGATGGAGTTTTGGCGGTCGACAGCCAAGCCATTGACCCCCAACCGGTGGCCACCTGGGGCATCAGGCAGAGGGAGGACTAACACAGAGAAACACAGTCAACAAACTGAGAGGAGGTGCATAGTGTCAAACTTACCATAGGTGACCCTCTGGTGGCTTAGTTTGCGTGCCATACATGCAGCGTTGAAGGAGTGAAGCCAATTGCGGAGATGCGAATGCGGAGCTTATCTGCCCTCGAGGCCGATCGCACGTTGAGTTTTGGTGGGGACGTAAACGTCACAGTGCCATTCGTAACAATCAAATAGAAGAGAAGTAAAAAAAAGCCAAGAAAGAGGCGACAAAGGGGAAGACTCTTAAATGAGGGGAAGTTTCTCTTGGAAAGTTGGAGGCGCCAGGGGCCGTCAGCGGCTGTGTTTATACTTCGTTACTGCCTATGTTAGTATGTTACTACTATATCCAACACCTTAGATACTGATCTGATTTAGGTAGAATCAATAGAATAATAGATCAGGTGGAATCTTTGTCTAACACCTATTTCATAGGCAGCCTCCCACTCCCCTCCTGGAATGCTTCTCGGTTATTTCTGGTTATTCCTGGCTATTTCGCTACATCTTCTGTGTCGTAGTACTACTCTACAAACATTACCTTTTAGAAAGCTACGCAATGCACAACTATATATTACCCTATCTACAGATCCAAAAGACTTCTCATTTCTGAGAGAAACTCTCCGCCAATTCCATCAACCGGATGATATTTTGCCCGCCCCCAAATGGCTTTATAAATGAGGGAAATCCATGACCCAACAGATTTACGTTCGCGGTCTAAGGGAAACTTAAGCTCGTACCGAACAACCCTATAGAACAGCTTGGCTGCATCGCCAAGGTCATGTTCAGTTTGCGGCCTGAAAGGCTGCAGTTCACATCTTTTTGAAAAGAACCTCACATTCCGAAGTTATATGGGTGTTGATTGAAGGAGTCACACCACGTTCATCGATGACATCCATCGCCTACATGTTGTATCTCAAGGAAGTGAGGGTGAGCGAGTTGATCGGCTGATTATTCATTTCTGCTGACTGCACAGAGACTGGCTTGCCAAGAAGGCAAGCTTTGACATGTAAGCTGCCACATTCATGCCAACTCGCTTCATAGTGAATGAGAAGCTGGGGTCATCGGCTGACAAGTTGGGTGGCCCTTTGTTGAGACCAGGGTTAGTACGTCTAGACGCTGAACGCCATTTTGGGCACTAAGTTAGCCTTGTCTTCTTGGTTGCTGTTGTGACTGAAGCAGCCTAGAAATTATATCCCGAGTATTGCTTCGCAGGATATCCCAATGATCGCTTGTGACAAGGTAGCGAGCTAATTAGTCTTAGATATGGGATAGATCAGCATCATTTGGAGATCCTTACCATACATGGACAATTTAAAATAGAAGTTTGTATATCTGGTTCATTGTGATTTTTGCTGTGTTACAGACCCAAGTTGGTACATAGTATTAGTACATAGAAGATTGTTGGCCTCGGATGAGATTTGATAGAGGCTATTCATTGTTCTGGCCCTTGGGCTCAACTTATAGAATATGTTCTAGGCTTTTGATATAGGGATATTGCATACTCCCAGCCACTACCAAGACATATAACACGGAAGCAACCTTGGAACGAGAAGACACATGATGTAACCTCATTTAGAGAGTTTTATATCTATATGCTTTTTGTCATACGTATGGTTCGCCACTTCACTTCTACACAGGTAACTTACTCTTCTCCTTAAGCTCTACAAGTTACGTATGTGTGTATAACCAAAGTCGTCAAAAACCAACATCCAAAAATGCAAATGGACATCCCAATCTCCCAAATAAAACCATCATACCCACCTCCTCTAATTCCAACGCAAGAAGCACCCGCAATTCAATCCACGATCAACGCCCTAAATTTGCTCCCACATCCAGAAGGCGGCTACTTCTCCGAGACGGATCGAGATCCGCGCCGCATTCCGAACCCTCACCAGCCAATAACTTCAGTCACAGACACAGGTGCAGATCCCGAAACTCGTTCCGCAAGCTCGACAATCCACTACCTCCTCACGCCACAGCGCCCACTAGGCGTTTTCCACCGTAATCAAAGCCGCACGGTTCACATCTGGCAGAGAGGACGGGGGCGGTATGTCATTATCCATGCAGATGAGGTAGGGGGCCAGAATCACATGCGGGGATGCAGTTCTGAGAATGCTACGGCGCGGATTGAAACATTTGTTGTTGGGCCTGGTGTTGAGGCTGGGGAGAGGATGCAGTGGGTTGTTGAAGGGGGTAAGTATAAAGCTTCTTTCTTGTTACCAGATGAGTCCGAGGGAGAGACTTCTTCAGGTTTGTTGATCAGTGAGGTAGGTTTCTGTGCATATATAGATCCACATCTTTGAAATGGTAGCGGTTAACAAGTCACCAAGGTCGTTGTCCCTGGTTTTGAGTTTACAGACCATGATTTCCTGCGCAAAAGCAAGATGGAAGAACTTCTGACTGAGGAGCAAGTTCAGGATTTGAGCTGGATGCTAAAAATCGAGTGAAGCAGTTCCTAGCAAAGTAAACAAATAATGACATATATAATTGCCCAAACCAACATCGCTTCCCAGAATCTATGTTCTTCCAACCTTCTATATAGCAATAATATACAAACCCCAAGGCCAAGTCAAAAAAATCTAATCAAAGACCCTTCTCCACCTGCACTTCCCGACGCCCCTCAAGAGTATTCGAAGCATACTGATAACTTCCCAGGAAAACAGCCCCACCAATACCAATCCAGGTTACACGGGGGGTAATACCACGCCAGAAAGCACCTGGCCCTTCACGCGCAATCCCGCGCACAATCTCCTTAACACGAACCGGCGCGTCAACGCCCCCGTCTCCACGTCGCGCAAGCATAACCCGCGTTTTAATCACGTCTAGCGGGGTAGTCAGGCCAGCCGCGATAGCGCCGGCAATACTGCCGAACATGGCGCTTGTTGAAGCGGGGATCTGCGTCTCGGCGAGAGACGAGGCCGTCTCCACGGTTCGCAGGTACCGCTTGCCATAGGCTTCCTTCATGGACTCCCACATTGTGAATTGCAGCACGGTGAAGGGTATCTCGCGGGCGATTGTGATTCCGGCTCCGCGATAGAGTTCGCGGAAGACCTGGCCGTAGCCGCGCTTCGGTGCTGGGGTTGAAGGACTTGCTGTACTTGCTGAGACCGCGTGTCGCAGGGACAGGATGTCCTTCAGTGCGAGCAGACTCGAGCCGCCGAAGAGACCGGCTTGGGCGCGCTGCTTAATGACCTCTGTTGGGACGCGCACGGCGCATGCGGCGATTTCGCCGAGGGAGGAGGCGAGCGAGTGTGTGAGGATTATGTGGGAGCGGGATTGCGGGTTGGGTTTGCTGCCAATGGGTTGGGGCGGGAGCATGGTGCGCTTGACGCCATCATAGACGATGAAGAAGGAGGCGGCGGAGGGGGCAGAGCCAAAGAGGACGGATGGGAGGCCGGCGTAGATACCGCGGAAGGTTTGGCGTAGAGAGAGTCGGGTTTGGGGTGCGGTGTGGTCGCGCGCTTTTTGGAGTCGGGTTTTGATGGTGTCGAGGGGATAGAGGGAGCAGTCGACAGTTAGGCCTGCAATTGCACCAGACTATATAGTTGCAGAGCTGTTAGAGGAATACTGCTGGGGAGAGCTTTGGAGAAGGTTACAATTAGTGACCTCGTCCACAGGGAGGAGACCAATGGCTCCCCGTCAGGTTGGGCCATTTTGTAAGATAGAATTGGATATTGAAATCTTTCTATCACAAGCACATGGCCAATTGGATGGAGGTACGAAGAGAGCAACCAAGTATGTTGTACAGAAGCGGACTGAACGGAGAAGCTCCGCGGCTGACAGTTTCTTTTGCTCCGCGGTGAGGCCACCCGATATCGCCGATCTCCCGAGGTCCTACATCAAGTTCGATCTAAAAGAGTATATATGTATACAGTATGTTGTTTGTATTGACATATATCTACTAGTTAAGAAAAGCTCTCTCGCACAAGTGTGAGCCTCGACAAAAGAATGCTCTGAAAAAAAAAAAAAACACATATCGAGATGATCCCACACCAAGTCTATCAGTAACATCCATCGTCGAGTCAGAGCCAGTGCCCTGTTTTCTTCTGGTCTTCAGAGAAACCTGAGCGCGATAAAATGCCGCAGAAGTTTATTCAAGAATAATATCGACTCATCTCAAACATGGTCGGGGAGATGAGGGAAACCACCAAAATCATCTACAGTACTCGTAGGGAATCACACAGTAAACGCGAAAGGGAAGGGGACAAGAGTGCCACCCCGTTCTCAAAGGATAAAGGGGATATATAGACACAAGAAGAAATTGATACAAAGAAGGGATAATTATTTAGCCTTGGTAGCTTTGCTAGCCACGGCAGGGCTCTGAGCGGGGGGCTCGAGGACGTGGGTATGGCCGGGGGCATTGTGAATTTCACCAGTTCCGTCCTGTTGGCATGCATGAATGTTCCTTACCCAGTCATCCGACAGTACCTCATCGAGTGTCGCTCGATTTTTCGGGTTGGTTTTCAGCATGCGGCCAATGATGTACCGACTTTCCCGCGGCAAGATCCGGAGAAGTCGCCATGGGCCCTTGATGACTTCCTGGCGCTGCCCAGAATTCTGGGAGGATGGCTGAACCGGTGGTGCCTCTTTGCTGGTCGTGCGAGTGGGCCGCTCATGGGGGGGGACTATTGCTGATTTGGCTGGTCTGCTTCTGAGCAGTGTCAGGAGAGCGATCACCGTCCCTCTGCGAGGGCTCTGCTTTGTTTTCGTCTCCGTTTTCATTTACATTTCCGTTCTGCTCCGATCCCGACTGGTCAGAAGGTCCGCTCGAGCGAGGAGTCAGACGCTTAGCGTCTTGGCCTTCGGAAGGAAGATCGGGTGTCGACTTGGGCCGACGACGTGGGTCTGGTTCGGGAACCGGGGTGCCTGGGGTTGGGCTGGAAACGAACAACTTGTATGAGTTGTCGGTCATGCGCGGTTGCTTCCATGGGAACCGGCGCAAGGTCATACAGCAGAAGATGATCGCCAGCGACCAAACATCCGTGGGACGGGGGTCATATTTCTTCTCGTCGTAGACCTCGGGTGCAAGATAGGGATCCGAGCCAACGATACCTGCAAATGCCAATCAATAACCATTTAACTGTGACAGAAAGAACAATGAAATACATACCTGAAGCAGAGACAATGTCATTCTCAAAAGGATAGCGAAATACGACGGCACTTCCGAAATCAATGAGTTTCATGATGCCACGGTCATTCACCACCACGTTGTCCAGTTTCAAATCCCGATGGGCTAAACCCATGCCATGGATGTAAGCCACACCGCTCAAAATCTGCTTGAAAGAACAGGCGATTTCCTCCTTGCTCATTTTGCCCGTCATCACGATAGCAAACAGATCAAACGGCGCATATTCCATGACCTCGTACCAGCGAGTGCCTTCTTGGATGATGTCCAAGGTCTCGATGATATTGCCATGGTGTAAGGTGGAGCCAATACAGAACTCTGCAGTCACCTTCTTGGAGTATTCCTTTACACTCTCCCAGTTGTGGCGGTCTCGGAATTGCTTCACTGCAAAGGTGACACCGTCACTGTTGCGCTTTAAAAGACGCACAGAGCCACCAGCTCCAGATCCGAGTACCCTGCCCAGCTTTCCATATTTAGAATTCAAACCATGGTCATCGGCAAAAGGAACATTGTCCGGAGCCATTTGATACGGAGTGGACTTCCCAGATGATCGACTCGACTTCTTAGGCATGGACGTCGGGGACTCGGATCGCTTGTTGCGATGGCCCATTTTGAAGAATCGCTTCAGCTCAGACATAGAACCTTGATGCTGGTGGCCCAGGGTCTTCTCGCCGTGCTCCTTCTTGGAACCAAATATGCCTCGCTTGTCAGTAGGCTTGCTGAGGTCACTTGCACTGGTGGATCGTGGAGCTCCCGGACGAAATGATCGCTTGACGTCCCGACCGCTGAAGATAAACCGGGGATCCAATTGGGAAAGGTTTTTAGACTGGGGTGGTCGCTTGTGGCGCGCATATGGGTCATTAGGTTCGCCTACAGGCGTCATAGTACCTGGCGGGGTAAGAGACTCTCTTGGAGTGGGAGGGGGGCTTTCTTCTTGGGAGCCCCCGTCATTTCCAATGAAGAACTGCGCACGATGTCTCGGTAGTTGGATAGCGTTAGGCCGCTCCGAGCCTTCACTTTGTCTAGTGGGCAGGTGATCGGTGGACACGGGTCGGGAGGAGGAAGCGGGTCGAGACGTGCCGTTCTTGTCGGTCGATCCGACTGGAGGTGATGCTTCAGGGGTGAAATTAGTCTGCACGTGGGGTCGGCTATGAGCTTTCAGGGAGGAGCTCTCGCTGGTTTTGCCTTCGCGAGAATGGGTTGCAGCTGGAGTAAGAGGGGGCGATTGTACGGCAGAGACCGGAGGAGACGCATGTGGGGAGGCAAAGGCACTGGTGCCATGTCCGCTGCCATGTCCGCTACGAACGCTCGAGTCTCGAGAGTCTCGAGAGGCAACCTATGAAGATTCAAAGTTAATATGATGACGATGTTTGCCACATTGCACCAAGTCTCTGATCAAACCCCGGCGTAAAGCCCGGTGTCGGAAGAGAAATAAATATCACTTGAGACATGAAGATATTGAAGTCCTCGGAAGAACATCCGATGGCAAATTAAAAATAGATAATGACATACCCTGGAAGACGGAAGAGACATGGCGTCGAAAGAGAAGTTGCGCAGGCGCGACTCCTGAAGCTGTGCGCCCTGCATACTCATCGCCAGCGACCGTAATTGTTCCTCGTCTGTAGATAAATTTTGCTCATCAAACAGAGATTGCTGTGGTTGCTCTGGTAGAGGGGACAATTTGGATCGATCTGGTTCAATTTCCTCTGTGATGGAGGAGAAACGGACCTGACTAGGCTGAGCTCTTGACGTGGCATCGGCGTCACCGGGCTCCGAAGCCTGGTCGGGGATATTGGTGGGGTGCATGATTTGGGATCCTGGGGAGACAAGACATGCGTCAGACGGTTGACAGGAATTTAGGGATACACCATCACAACCGATCAGCATGGCCAAGACATACCTGAATCCGTAAGGTTGGTGGGTATCGAATCACTCATTTCAGACGTCATAGTTTTCGACGCCAGCTCAGAACGTGGAACACATGCCCCTCACGATGAGAGCTTTGAAGGATCCGAGATAGCGAACTGAGGACCAGTTCAAAATGCTGTCAAGGTCACAGAATTGGGGCGATTTGCTCTAAGAGTCTAAGAAGTCAAAGACTCGGAGGCAAATCTTTTCCCTTTTTTAACTTTTCGTCTCCCGCCGAATGCGATCAAGAGCACCCCGGGTCTGGTTTCTAAGGAATCCAGTAATCCGGGTATCCCGGGTTCTAAATGATAAAATGCAAGAGCAAGAAAGGGTTGTAAAAAGAAGTGAAAGAGAGAAAGCTGAGAAGAGGGGAGATGTGAGAAGTCTGGGCCTCAGGCAAACTTGCTTTTTTGGGGGCGAGTGGGGGGAGTGAGATAAGTACTAGTGTACTATGTTGTAGTACTATGTAGTACTTTGACTCTCCGGAGTTTTTACCATTTACTTCTTTATTTCTATTTCTTTTTTTCACTTCACTTTGTATCCAATCAGACCATGCAGATATATATATCAAAATACAGCCTAAATCTACCGAGGAATACCTTACCTCATAAGTCGGATGGTCGCGGAGAGGTTCAAGATGATGTCGACCCGTGCCGACTCCCGGACCTACGTACATAGTATACTTCCAAGGTTATTACGGAGTTACGGAGTATTAATACCTAATGCAGGCCATGTAAGATCTGGTCTTTATGTGATCTGGAATATTGCCTGAACGGGGTTAGTATATCTGGTGACTCCATTAGTCCGTAAGTTCGTCCGAAAAGCCTTGGAGAGATAGGGCTGTTCCAGCCAGATTTATCCGGTCATGGTCTCCAGACTCAGCTCTCTATATTCCCCAGACTCTTCGGACTCCAGGCCAAGTATCATGCGATCTTTACGTTATACACATTCTTTCATAGTTGGACATTCTTGGCCGTGCCAAGAGGTCGGACTGAGTCACGTAGTTTATATGCCAAGTCCGCTCCGAACATGTGGGAGTCTGTGACCTCATATGTAAGTCTTCCGATATCTCTCTTGGTACAGTCATCAGAAAGAATACCTACAAACTCGGGGGCGTCTCACCGCTAGATAATGGGATGGGCGTGTGATCATATATCAGCCTCATTCCAATCGCATTACAGCGATTAGCCGGTTTATATTTGACTTTGACAAGTCACTCTACGTACTACCATACCCCGGAAGGTCCAAGCAACTTTCAATGCGAAATGACCCTTGGATTGCAATCAACAGATATGACATGCAATCTGGAAAACTAATAATAATCGGTATCGTACAACAGGGGGAAGAAAAAACCCCCTAATTTCCCAGAAAACGCCCGGTAAAATGATCCAAATCAAAACCAGTAGCCCTTGGAGCACTACTAGAATGACCAATAATTATACAAGTCTATTGTCCTTGTCATGCTCAGGGAACGACCTGGATACCAATGGACTTGGCCTGGGACATGACACTCTTGCACAATCCCTCCAGGGACAAGCCTGATAGCCGCGTCTCGGTCTGCTTGAGTTTGGCGATCTCGTAAACGTGCTTAAGGGAAATCTTGCCACAGAATTCATGGCCAGGGTTCATCGCACCACGCAGCCGGTTCTTCCGGGGTTCAACATTAGCCGCATTGAGCAGGAGGTAGGTGGTGGTTGGGGTGCGGAGTTCAAAGGAGAATGATCGATCGGGGCGAATAGCGACACGCGCGGGGATGGGGACGCCAGTGTTGATGTGAGCTGTGCGGGCGTTGAATTCCTAGGGATATAGTTAATATATGAACTGCTGATCTCCACAGGGTACCTAGGTAAACAAAGACTGACCTTGCAGAAGTCCATGGACTTAACACCTTTACTTCCCAGAGCCGGACCAACAGGGGGACTGGGACTGGCCTGACCAGCTCCGACGATGAGCTTAACAAAGACGTCCTTGGACAATGCGTTTCGTGCCATGATGGATATGTTGAGATAGTTCCAAAAAGGCCAAAAGCAGAAGATTGAAATTCGGAAGATTTGCAGATTTTCCGCTGACGACGTTGATTGGTCGAAGGCGGCAAGCGAGCCAAAGAAGCCCAACGTCATAAGGTACTCCCCTTTCTCTTCTTTTTAAGGAGCTTCTTGAGCTTTTGATCGATTCATTTTTCTCATTTCGATCTTGATATTTACGATATCTAGGTCTACTTTCTACTGTCATCCTTTGGATCGACTATTTGGTGTATCTACCTCTCATCCGGAGAGTCCCATTAACATCCGAACTAGAAACTCTCGGGCCCCGCGTCGATCTCCCCTTCACCTCCCTTTTCACTTTTCTTTTCTTTTTCTCCAGTTTTTTTTTTTAATCCAAAACTTATCGCAATAATGAACTGGTTGAAGTCAACGTAGGTTCCGATCGACCCTGTCATGTTGTGGTTATACTGACCAATTCCATGCGGGCAGTCTCTCCGCCGTGGTGGGCACCGAGGAGCCTATCTATGGCCCGGAGGCTATCCAGTCTGTTGCGAAGCAGGCAGAGACAACTCCTTTCACCAACGTGAACAAGGAGATTCTGCGCTGGCGCGCATACTCTTACACCAATGTCGAAACCCAGACTTTCTACATCATGGCCGACAACGGGACCCTAGTTTTCGTTCAGGTTATCTACAGCAACATTGTGTAAGAAACACTCAGTACAAGCGTGAAGCTTCTACCCCGAAATCAAGATCTACAGTAACTGACTCTAATTCTTGGTCCCCGATTACAGCGGAATCCACACCACCGCTCAGTTCAACGTGAAGATTTTCGACCGCAGCGGAAAGGGCGACAACAAGTGGTACTCGGACCCGCTCTCCAACTACATGTTCGACGAGAACATGCTCTCCTTCGGCGCCGACAATTTGTCGCTGACCCTCAATGAGGAGGGCAACTCCTACACTATCAAGTCCACCGTCAACGGCGGAGCCCTGGTGGATCTCAAGTTCTCCCAGGCCGCACCTGGCTTTGTTGTCGGCAAGGATGGAACCTCATACTTTGGAACTGACCCCAAGAACCCATGGGGCTCCATGCGCCACGCTTTCTGGCCCCGCTGCGCCGTCGAGGGTAGCATCATCACCAAGGACCAGACCTACGATCTCAGCGGTCGTGGTGTCTTCATCATGGCCCTGCAGGGCATGAAGCCTCACCACGCTGGTAAGAAGCTCTATATAGATATTGAGTAGAACCACACTGCTAACAAAAAAAAATATAGCCGCCCGCTGGAACTTCATCAACTTCCAGACCCCCACCTACTCCGCCATCATGATGGAGTACACCACTCCCCCCTCCTACGGCTCTACTACGGTCAACGTTGGTGGTATCGTCAAGGATGGTGAGGTAATCTACGCTGGCACAAGCAACGGAGTGGTGCACACAGAAAGCGGCCAGGACGAGGGCAGCGACTGGCCCGCGCCCAAGTCCATCAAGTGGAACTGGAGCGGCAAGACAACCGATGGCAAAGAGCTCACAGCTGAGGTGGACGGCCCCCTCGGCCCCCGACTGGATCGCATCGACGTTATGGCTGAAGTACCAGGCTTCATTAAGAGCATTGCTGGCAGTGTTGCGGGTACTCGGCCGTACATCTTCCAGGTATGCCCTCATTTCTCGTTTATTGCCAAAAGAATCCATATCTAACTAACTTGCACAGTACTCGCCCCAGGATAAGCTATCGTTGAAGATGAAAATCGGCGACCAGGAGATCACCGAGGAGGGAACTATGTTCTCCGAGTCCACCTTCATCTCGTAAAGGCCCTGCCTAATTCGCGTACATAGGACCTCATTCTCCCCTACGGGACCTTATTGTTGGCGTTCATTGTGATGATTTTTGTGATGCTATATTTATGTCTAGAGGATCAGCTTGACTATTTCTTCCCTTATGCGGATCAGATAATCCCCAGACTGTATACATGATACTTAATGCTATTTTGACTATATCCTGAAATTATTTTGGTAGAATACTGAAGGCGGAGGGTACACTCGAGTTCGTTGGGACTCGTAACAAAATGATACACATGTATGTAGGATGCAACGAGGTAAAATCTACAAGTGATTGTACAGGAAAGATCGGGCCTGCGTGTCCGCTGCTGATCCTCGAAATAAGACAAGAATGTACAAAGAAAGTTGCAATGCAATACAGTACAATTGAACTCAAAACAAAGAAGTATAAACCTACCAGCGGTCTTCCCGCCAACAGTAGAACAAGAATACAACACGTCTAGGAACTCCGAGAAAAAATAAGTAAAGAAAACAAGTACAGATCAGTTATCAACCATCAACTGCTCTCCTTCATCAAGAAGAGTCGTAACCCGCGAGAGATCAGAGATCATCTTACGACCATGGCCAACCAGCAAGAGTTTCTCGGCATTGGCAGGGAGACCCAGGTAGGTAGGAGGCTCACGCTCCGGTAGGTTGTTGACCCAGGTGACGAAGTCCCGCATGCTAGTTGTATCGGGAAGTGTCAAAATGTTGTCGTTCTCTACACCCGAGACGAGCTTGTAGCCGTCTTCGAAGGCAGCGGGTGTAAGGAAACTATTGACGAGGTTCTCAAGCTGCTCGTAATCGCCCGCGTCGTCGATTTTACCACCATACATTTCTGCGACAAGAGTGCGGATCATCTCCCATGGAATTTTCTGCGGAGCAACGTTGGAACGGCCTTGGGACACTGAATCGACCCAGTGGTCGATGATGAAGGCCGAGCATTCGTACTGGGAAGAAAATGTTAGCGCCTTTACAAGAATAAATGAGGTGGACGGTACTTACATCGCTGTCGTTAAACTCCCAGAAGCCCTTCCATCCGAGGCTAGGCGCATAGCGGAGTCTTTCCTGTACCACGGCGTGCAAGAAACAGAGTAAGAGATAGACACGGGCCTTTTCGACAGGAGCCTTGCTGGCTCTCACATTCAGTGAAGAGAGGGAATCCTTCATGTTTGCACGCACACCCGCCGGCTGTTCGTACATCAGCACACGCGAGGCGCGGATCAAATTGACAGGGA